AACAATAAAGGAAATGATCAGGTGTGAAAAATATAAGGAAAGCATACACCCAGGAATTATGCAAACCCCAAAGCAGATGGCTTCCTAAAGGTACCTGATAAGCTCCAGTGTTCTCAGATTTTGGCTATAAAAAGAGGGGATTCACTGTATAAGAAGTTAGGAGACCTCTGTATAAAATTGAGAACTTGAAAAGGAATAACTTTAAGTGAAATTCTGGACTAGTAAAACAAAAAAACAGAAATGAGGGATAACAAGCAATATCCTGTCTCCAGTTTAAGGGTTTAAAAAAATAAAAACACAAATACATAAATGCAGACCCCCAAATGGGAGTTATATAATATATTTGTATTTGGAAAAATTGTGATAACACATACCTGCAAGATCAATGCCATCCTTGTGCACCAGTGGGCAGGCTGGAAAACCAAACAAACAATATAAAACCCTAATTTAGATATTTTCCAAACATACTCTTCCCCTGTCCTGTGAATGGGAAACTAACGTAATCTTTCCGGAAGTCAACTGTGGAAGAAATCCAAATCAGATGTGGCCATGGTTTGCTGAATGTTTCGTAAAGATTGAAATGCTCTCATATCCCCAGCTACGACCATAAGGTCATAGCTTCCTTCTCTCCTGGGTCCATTAAAATCAATGGTCTTCACTTGACAGCGTGTATTGAGAGATGTCTCACTGCTAATATGTTGCCCTGATGAGCAGTCTCAATATAGTTTTGAAAAATATGTGATACTTCTTTTTAAGCACAGTCACTTTTAAATATAGACCCTCATTTAATTAGGGAAGGTCTTTATCAACCTGAAACTCTAAACACAGGGAAGGAAAGTTTATTTCTATATGTTCAAAATCATAAAACTTAATGTCTATATAACAAACCGCTCTGGAAGTCAATATTCTTTCCTCAGATCAAGATGGGACTCATTATTTAGCCAGTATAAAATATTTCAGCCTTTAAATGACATCAGTAAATACAAATTTCAAAGAACTAACTTGCTGATGCGGTTTCACAGACAAAAGTAATTAACTCATCTTCAATTTTCCTAAAGGCGTCAAAGTCATCCACAAAGAAGACGTGGCGTGCACTGGGCTTACTGCCAATGCTAACCAACTCCGAGTAATCTGCGTCAGCCACACCAACTGCAAAAATGCTGTAGCCTGTGGCAGAAGAGGAACAGATTTCTGATTACTTTAAATTCCACAAGATATAAATAATGCAATATAAGACACATCCAAATGCTTAAAATATGTTTATTTAGGAAGCCCAGTGGGGGTGGATAATTCATTTTTTACAGTTCATCAGAATTCTGCATGCACATACTGCATTATGTGATCATTATTCCATCATTCCCTTAAGAGATTTTCCATTTTAAAGAAACTCAAGAAGGCCAATGACCCAACCAGTGCTTGAGATAAAATAGTTCCCATTTAAGTAACATCTCTATAGTTGCACAATTTTTTTTTTTTTTTGAGACAGTCTCGCTCTGTTGTCCTGGCTAGAGTGAGTGC